TAAGGCATTTGACTGCTAACCAGAAGGCTGGTGGTTCAAACCCACCAGCCACTCCTGGGAAGGAAGGTTGGGCAATCTACTTCCGTAGTGATACTTCCTTGGGAACCCAAGGAGGGGTCATTATGAGTTGGATCCAACTCAACAGCAGTGTATGTGTGCTCCTTTTTGAAGTCAAAACTCAAATGCAGTCTTAGAGTTCATCTTAACACAGTGGTCCAGGGAGCCTCTTCCAATTGATGTGAATTATCATAAGAGATTTTAGAATTTCATTACCATTCCTGGTTTATTTAGTGCCTGGTTCCCTAGGTAGAATAAGATAGAAATCTTCCTTTTGGAAATTAAATTGGAAGTTAAATTAATTGGATAAGACCTGCCTACACAAAATAGGGAAATACAAAATGATTTACACACAGGTTCTAAATGGAGTACACTATCCACGCTTTCAGGCATGACAGACAGGCGAGTTTTTTGTGTGTTCTGTATCTTCTAAGGAAGAGTTAAAGAACACTTTTTGGAGGAAATGAGACTCAATCAAACCTTGAGGGTAGGTTGAAATCACACTATAGCTGCCCTTTGCTAGTGCATACTCTGTACCACAGGGCAGTGTGTTGGGTACAGTGTTTACATTTACTCACATGTTTCCAACAGCCCTTCAGGTTGAGTGGGACTGTGCCCTTCCATTTCACAGATGATAAAATTGAGATTCAGAGAGTTTAAGTAATTCGCTCAAGATCACATGGCTAATGCAAGGCAAATCGAAGATTCAGACCCAACTGAAGGTCAGGGAATAGGACATTCTAGGCAAGAGGCTGGGAGGGAGGAATATCGTATGAGGTGGGTATGGAAGTTTCTTCTTGGGGAGTGTGTGTGATAAGCTTGGGGAGTGAGAAGGAGCTGAGGGACAGGGGTGGGGGATGGATGGGATCAGAGTTGCTGCTTCTGGGGTCAGGGGACTATAGGAAGACTAGCAAACATGTATCTAAGATGTAGCCCAGCTCCTTGCATCCAGTTTTCCAGAAATGGGCACAATTAGAGCTAACATTTATGTGCCAGGCATTATTCTACATGTCACCAGGAGACACTAGTTGCTGGAGGAAGATATCATGCTTAGTAAAGTGGAGAGTCAGAGAAAAAAAGGGAGACCCTTAATGAGATGGAATGACACAGTAGCTGCAACAACGGACTCAAACATAACGATGATTGTGAGGATGGTGCAGATAGGGCAGTGTTTCGCTCTGTTATACATAAGGTCCCTATGAGTCAGAGCTGACTCTATAGCACCCAATGATGATCTAATTTAATCGGTAACTCAACTGAACTGCTGTGGTGTTCTTATTCTCATTTTGTATTGGAAAGGTGGAGCCATTCCATCTTGTTTGGATTGCAGTGCAAAGAAGGTCAGTGCCCTACAGGCTAGGAGGAGTGTGTGTGGGTCACAGTCTTTGAGCACAAGTCTTCAGTTGCATTGAACTTACTTCACTTTTTTCCCCTTATTCAGGATTTTTCTCACCTCATCACATTTTTCTTGGGTAAATGTAAAAAGCCTTAGAGGCATTTTGGTCTTAGAGTGATTCTGTTCTCATGTTAATTATCAAAACCAGTCCTGGCATTTTCATTTCAAAACTATAGCTAGAAAAGCAGGGTGTTTTCTAGGACAAGGCCTAATGAGGGGAGCAGGGTTTAGTCTGAGTGGTTAGAATTTTGCATATGTGCTGAATATTTTATGTGCATTTCTTTGTCTGCCTTCCCTGAGAAATAGGTGGGAAGGAGACAATCAAATGCACAGTTTTGCATTTTGTGTTCATACCCATTGACTGAGGGATTTATTTGGTGCTTGGCTCCCTACATAGAATAAGACAAAAGTCTTCCTTCTAGAAGTTAAATTTTTTTGGACAAAAAGTTATTTTTTGGAGCATTATTTGTAATAACAAAATGTGGAAAACTACTTCATGTCTTCTGTGAAGAAAATAGTTAAATAACCTGTATATATATATATTTATGTGTGTGTGTGTGTGTGTATATATATATATGCGTGTGTGTGTGTGTGTATGTATATGTAGAGATATATGTGTGTGTTTGTGTGCCCTGGTGGCGTAGTGTCTAAGGCATTTGACTGCTAACCAGAAGCCTGCCAGTTCAAACCCCCCAGAAACTCCTCAGAAGGAAGATTGGACAATCTCCTCGGAAACCCAAGGAGGAGTTGCTATGTGTGTGTGTGTGTATATGTATATATGTATGTATATGTGTGTGTATACTGTGTGTGTGTATAAATATATATATATACACACACACACACACACATTATATATATTACAGTGAAAGTGTTTTTAATGTTATGAGAAACTATCTGTGACAGACTGTTAGATTAAAAGAGGAGGTTGCAAAATTGTATGTATCATGTGAGCTGACTAATTTTGTTCTATGTCATGGAAGTTGAATGAATAGTTAGTGCTTGAGGATATAGATACTGGAGTCAGATCTGAATTTGAAATCCAGTTCTGCCATTAGCCCTGGGACTTTGGGCAAAATGTTCAATATGGCTGAACCTCTGTTTTCTCGTTTGTAAAATCAGAATAAAATAATACCGAGCCTCTTTGGGCTGTTGTGAGAATGAAATGTGATAATACGTCTTGATGTCCAACCAGAAAATCTTACCGTAGAAGGAGTATATTAAAATAAGGCTCCAGTCACCACCTTACATGTTGACACCCAATATATTAGGATTTATTCAGCTTTGGGTGCCAGAAATGCTGATAGAAACTTTCTTAAATGAAGAAGAGAGTTTATTTATCTCAGACAAAAAGAAGTTCATGGCTGGCTTGGTGGCTCAGGGCTGCCACTGAGGAATCAGGCATCTCCTTTCTTCTCTGTTCTTCCATCTTTATCAAGAGCTGCTGCTGCCTCTTAGAGCTTGCATGAGCATCCAGGCAAGAAGGACAAAGTTGCAGCAGATTTGCATTTATAATCTCATTGACCAGCAGTGGGTCACATGGCTACTTCTAGCTGCAAGGGAATCTGGAAAACTGAATCTGTAACTTGTTAGATCTCCATAGTAGAGGATAGCAAGTAAAAAGGATGCTGGTTGAATCAACCTATAGTATCTGCTATAGGCCCTCAGTTCATTACAGTGAGATTGTAGAGTCATACATGGGATTTTCAAAGTTAGGTAGTGAGGTTGATTCAATTTAGTTAAAACAGTAACACATACATGCCTCAATTGTTTACTGAAGTATTGAATTTAGTGCTAGAAGGATCCCTCAGTTAGGTGATGTTAAGTTAGAATGGGAACTGAGGTCTAGAGGTAAGTGGACTTGCCTGAATCCACAGTGAAGTTTGACTGGTGGCAGAGCTGTGATTGAAATTCAGTTCTTATTTCTATGAATTCATTTTACTGTTCTTTCTAATTTATTCCAATGTCTTCTAAAAGTAATCATGAATTACCTGTTACCTGTCTTTAAGTGATACAAATTTAGCTGCCTCTGGGCTTCCAGCAAGGGTGCTAAGCATTGTTGAATTGAGTGCTGGGGTTGGGCATGGGAGCCAGTACAACACTAGATGAGTCCATGTGATGATGTGAGATGAGTCTATCATCTGTGGTGTTTGACAGGCTGTGCTTGTGGTCCAAATCTCTTGCTGAGATTTGACGGTAAAGGCAATAGCCAGCTGCTGGCAGCCCAAGTCCACAGGCCCTTCAGTATTTGGATAACAATTATGTTCATTTCTCTTGGATTCATGAAGTTATTGAGATTCTGAGTAACTCTGGAGAAGCTAAGATGATAACTTTCTGTTCCTTTCATTTTAGGTGTTGCTGTGATTCACAAGCCCTTGTGACCCAAACTCCCACTGCCAGGAAGTGGAGGAAGGGAAGGGGTGCTGCCAGTGACTCAGAACAGCGGGGGACCATGATGACTAAATTCTACTCCCTGGGAGAGTTTGTGGTGGTGCTGTGGTGATGTGAGAACTGCCCTCCTCTGACTTGGCAGAGTGGCCTTGAAATGTGAACACTCGTTGGTGACCCACCTCCTATTCCCCTGAGATGCTTTGGCCTCCACCCTGAGCAGTGGGATTCCTGACAATCCCAGGCAGCACCTTTGGGATTTTTTTGTGTTTCTATAGGGACAACAAAGAACCTGGACCGTGTGTGTGTGTGTGTGTGTGTGTGTGTGTATGTATGTAGAACACATGTTTCACTAAGTTGGGGTGGGGGGTGTGATTGTCTACTGGATTTCTTTACTACTGATCCTTCACTCTGCTAGGAATCAAATCACAGAAACCTCTCTTCTGGATGTGGCTCCTGGGGACTCTGAGACTACTAAAGCTGCTGTCTTCTGGAGGTCCACTTGGACAGGCTGGGAATGTCCAGAAATAACTAGCAAGAGGGGCAGCATAATTTACTTGACTACTGAAACTGTCCGCAGAAGAGCAGGGGCATCTTGAAATGTCATCTCATGCTCTGTGCAAAAACTGGTGAACAAGTGGGCTCCCAGTGTTCCTCCGCTGGTGCTCTTCCTTGGGCTCTCTTCCAGGAAGCAGATGAGGATAGCCCAGCTTTGGGTCTGGGCCTCTGGTCCTTGATGTCATGGATTCCAGGCTGGGGAGATGTTGTCTCATCAGCTGAGGAAGACTAACCCTTCAGAGAAGCTCTGGGTAACACACTGGAGGAGAAAACTAAAAAACAAAACAAAACAAAACAAAAACAACCAAAGTGGTAGGGACCCTGTCCCTGCCCATAATGGTCTCAGAGAGGGATCCTACCTCTGGGTTTGCCCAGGATAGGACAGTTCCTGTTTATACTTGTTATCCAGGCTGAATTGCTCATAGCATCCCATTTTACTTTCAAAAGTGTTCAAGTTTGGAGGATAAATAAAAGATCACTCTACCTCCAAACCCAAAGATAGGTGTGTCCCTGCATTGGACAGGGTCATGTGTGATTCAGATGAATATGGATGACTTTAAATACCAGCTGGGGCTGGCCCTTGGCACTTTGTGGTGATGGTCCAGTCTGTCTGACATCCTTGTCTTCCTTGTCCTCTGCCCCCATTCCAGGGCCTGTACCCTTTCTCCAACCCTCAGGACCCCCCTCTCATCCTTGTTTCCCCTGTGGGGAAAGAAGTGGTGATAGGCCCTGGATGTGTGAACTCTCCCAGGGATACTTATATTTTGAAAGAAAACCTTGATGGGAGTTTGCTAATTCACAGGTAAAAATGATTAATGATAGAATTTTAAGCGTCTGGAGAAGGAGGTATTTGAGGGTGCATGGAGTCATTTGCATTTTATAAAAAGAACATTAAAGCTGTGCTCTTCCTAAATTAGCAGTTTGCTTATGTTGGAATTTTAGGCACAGGGGTGGGACCATTGTGTATGGAGAACAGTCTCACACCCTGGGGGTTGGATTTAACTCTCCTTGAAGTCAAGGTCTGCCTCCCGGGAGCCAAGGCGCTTTGTAAACCCTGATGTTGGACCTATAATACAACTGGACTACTTCTAAGCAGATGTTGCAGGAGACTGGAATGCCACCCCTCCCCCCACATTAGAAGCCCAGGAGCCTCGTCCGCTAGATGGGCAATTTGTGTATTTACTGTATATTTATTGTGCACTAAACACACAATTCTCCTGAAGGGGAAACTTCTCCTTTCACTGTTGAGCAGATGCTACTTCACAGAGACATTTGGAGAGCACCAAGGCACGTAGGATTTTTAGCAGCCTCGAGAAGAGAATAAAACATTCAGCTTTGGCGGACCTAAAAGAAATGTTTCCAAAGGAATCTAGGCTTGTTTTTAATTGGGTGCTCTGTTCTTTCCTGGCAGTGGAAATGACTGGTTTTAGAGCTCTTCCTGGCTCTAGGTCAGAAGCTGATGGAGTGAGCTCTTGGCCCCGGATGTCCTTGGGACCTTGTTTTGGTGTATGTGTGGTTAGGATGAGATGGGAGGTTGGGGCCTGATGTACGCTGTTTATACAAGGTCCTGATTTCAGATGAAAGGTGAATTTTCCATCCCCTCTACCACCACCTAGAAGCTAGACTTTCAAGCTTATATTGTGGAAGTTACTTTTTGGGTGTCCCTTTCCATGAAAACCAGCCAGCCATGTTTTTTGCTTTTGGATTTTGCTATTGATTTAACCCCACCTCTCCCTTCCCAGAAAGCACTGCCTCTGCTAGTAGTACTGCTGAGGCCATGTTCATTTCTTCCTCATGTGTCCTTTCTCATGGGGACTAGAACACTGGTACGTCATCACCAAAAGCAAATCTGCTCTAGCTGCCCGTGGATGCCATCCAGAACTCCTGTCTCTTTATCACTAGGTACGACTCTCTCTCCATAGTGTGACACAGCAGACTTATTTTCAAGCCTGTGCTGGTCACATGGTAGGTGAGAAGCCTCCTCCTCTTCCCCAATTAGGGTGGCCACTGCTGCTTGTGAATGCAGCTTTGTCAGTAATGTGTCTGGAAGTCTGATTGCAGTGATGAAATGGAATTGAGGCCCAAGGTTAGAAGCAACTTAGACACCGATTGGATACTGATTTGGAAAACATAGAAGTCATCTAGTCTGAATTCCAAAGTTATTTCTCATCAGTGCCCAATGGCCTCCCTCCATCTAAAAAGTTGCAGTATTATGCAAATGAAAGTGACCTCATTTTCTGCTATGCAATAAGAATATTTAATTCTATTTCATGACAGACCAGTTGCAGTATCCCCTAAGATGCTTTTTTGAGCTGTCTTACTTTGATATCTGTTGTGTAATGTTTGTATATTTCTGAGCCAGATCCTCTCAAAGATTGCCTTTTTATAAAATTGAAGCTATAGCTTTCAGGCTAAAATTTTATTGTCGATATTTTTATAAGATAATTTTTCAGGATATTTGAATCGCTTTTTATTGTCCACGATGATGAAATGTTCAGTTCCATATGTCAGTCCTTCTCCAACAGTTCATGCCTTTGGCTCTCTTCCCTTTGTTTCTTGCCCTCCCAGAACTTACTTTTTCAGTAGCTCCAGGTAGACAAGCCTCTTTGCCTTGGAGTCTTCTTTCTCATGCCACATTCAAGGGAGACTGCAGAATTTGAAAATACAATTGACTGGTGATTCTTGAATTCCTGGGGACATAGGTTAAACTTAACTCAATACTTATCCATGTATGTTTCCTGTCTAGGGTCACTGTAAGTTGGAATCTACTAGAAAACACACAACTACATTAATAGTCTGCTTTCTGTGTGGTTGAGGCTGACCTGATCCATCTCCTGGTGACTCTCACTGCCTGGCACTGAGCCTGGCAGAGTGTGGTGTGGAGAAGCCTCACAGAAAAACCTGCCCTCCAGGGCACACACCCAGCAGTTTCCTGGGTCCAGCAGACCTTTCCTCATTTTCTTCTGTTCCCTTGATCTTCTGAGACTTCTAATAGCTTAAGGCCTTTCTACCAGATGATGATGTCCCTTTTGGAAGCATCTTATTTCTGAACTTTAAAAGAGGGTTCAATTCTCATGATCCTCATTAAAAATGTGTTAAGCATGTGCTTTGCTGTTGCTCACACTAATGTACAACTTACTTGCCTCTTGAGCTGTCTATGCCCTAGGTTCTCTTTTGTGATTTATCTGCCATTGACATCCTTTATTTTAATTGTTATTTTTGTTGTTGGGAGAGGTGCCATTTTGAATTGCCTCCATGCTCCCCAATTGCACTTTGCTGGATCAAGTTGAGAGGTTGAGCAAACCCATGTTAACAGTTAGCTGGAGTTTTAAAGGTTCTGTTGCCTGGAGAAGCAAGGAGGTTAGGTTTTTTTTTTTTTTAAGTGTTTGCACTATTTAGGATCCTAAGCCCCTCATGTTCAGCTGTGCTGTGTATCTACTGACCAAGCAGGAGAGCTGGCAGCACGTCTGGCATTTGGGAATGGAAGAGGTTTCTTCCGTAGTGGATAATCACAACCTCACAGCCTCTGTGCAGCCATTGTCACAGGACTCAGTGACTCACGGATATAGCATCAGCCAAGTCAGGAATGCAAGAGACTGGCATTTGGAGAAACAAATTGCTCTAGTGCTATATTCTTGCCTTTGGTTATAAGATTATAAGTTATTTTTTCCTCTTTTCAGTGGCAATAAAGGACCCTTGTTGGACTTTGTGTTTAATTTGTACAGTTTTAATTTGTATAATATGATATGTAAAATACTTTCTTTGAAAGAAAACTGAAGACACTGAATGTGTATGTCTGTGTGGTTGCTTTGTCTCTGTGATTGTCCACTGGCAGTCAGACTTGAAGTCTGACACCCCGTACAACATATCGCACAGGTAAGGCCCTTGATCTGGTCGGTGTCTCTTGCATGGATATTAGGGAACCTATGTTTTATAAAAGAACACTTGTCACATGCTTGATCAGTTACAGTGAAAGCTGAAGAAACATTTCTTCAAATGTATTATTTTAACAGGAATCATGTTCTAGTTTCCCATACTTTGTTACTTTAATTTTAATAAAAGCTGAACTGTGCAAACCTTTTTCAGTATTTCATTTTCACAAAACCAGCCTTTCCACTATGTTCCAGACATGAATAGGATAGACTTTTTCTGCATGTCTTCAGATGTTTTAATTTTTCTCTTTAAGATTTATTGAGCAGGGTCTGGGTTCTTTTGGTCTTGATCACCTGGCCCCATCACAGTGCCAGACCCACCAAGACCTTCTTCATGAGGCATAGAGAGGACAGTCCCTGTAGTATGTGTTAGGTGGTGTGGGCAACCTTCTGCTGTGAGGATGGATGTGATGGTCTCAGGTATGGGGAGGAAGAAACAGGGATTCAGCTATAAATAAACATTGCTTCTTTAAATTTTTGTTAAAAGACCTGGAGATTTTATA